GTCGTGCTCCATGCATTTGTCTCTCCCCAAACCCCACAAGAACCAGAGTCATCTTTACCCTAAATCCATATCCCTGCGAATTCTGGGTTGCCTTCCCTGTAAAATATCCTGCTGAATGGATACTGAAGCGTTGTCACGTGAGGGGCCGCCCTGGGATTCTGAAATATGAGAAATACACGGCCTGTCTCATAAACGAGGTGGTGTTTTTACCAGTTACTAGAAATAGCCTTAAAACAGCTGGAGAGGAATTGGCCAGGTGCTAGAAGCATTCTAGAGGAGTGCACTGATCCCACAGTCCCTGGCCTCGTGTCATGCCATGGTCAGCAGAGTCCTGCAGCCGTGTCACGGCCAGGGCTGCAGGGAAGCCAGGGATTAACCTCCTACCGAAAATACTGCTAAATCCATCCCTTCCCTCACCTAAAAAAACACCCCCCTCTGAAAACCAAATGCGCTCTCTCTCTCTCAAGCTTATACATTTTTTTGTCAGAGTTGTAGTAATTTAAATTTTCTGTTTCTGAAAGTCATACCTTAAATAATTGACTTTCTGGGACATGACTTATATTTTTATTTCAGGAAAAAAGTGGCAGGCCACAAGGAATTTTAATAATCCACACAAAGAAATCTGAGCGCAAAATTTAAACACAAAAGATGCATTGTCCCTTCATGTCCTTTACACACAGGGGCCAAACCAGTCAGTTCCTGGTTCACCTTCCTTTATGTAAGTGGATTAAAAGTAAGATTAACAAACTGTCAAAAAGAGTGTTAAATGATAGCTTCTGCTAGTTAAAAATTCTGATGGTTCTAAAACTCTGTTGGTGGCCATCTTGGCCTGGGAGCTTTCACACAGATGAGACTGGTGAAGGCAGGGCATGGGGTATGGAGAGGCACTGAGGCAGGAAGGGGTTATTAAAAATGAGTAATCCCTACAGAAAGAAAACACCTAGGCCCAGCAGGATCCATGTTTTAACACACACATCAACACTGAGAAACACATCAGGAAAATAAAACCCCTGCTCTGCCTATTTTAGGGACAGAATTTCTTTACTCAGTTGTTTTTTACCGAGGAAGATTCTAACACTTTCAAAGTTCATTCCTGGGGTATCCACATCCTGCTTCTAAGACAGACTGGTCATGTCCATTCCTGTATGGCACAAACTGCCCTGACAATGCAAATGTGGTGAGATCCTTTTCCATCTGACACCAACACACGCTGAGGGAGCCCTGTGCACCTCCCCTGGATGCCCCCAGCACTGCCGAGGAGTCTGAGCTGCACCGAGGGGATCACGGCACAAGTGCAGCTTCAGGCCCGGAGCAAAACAGGTTCACTATGCACTGAAAATAAATAAATGCCCTCCTCTTCTCTCTGCTGAGTCACCTGCTGGGAGGAAATGCGGCCGCTCGCAGCAGCTTCATGGGGTCGCTCGGCCAGGGGTGACCACAGGGTGACCACGGGATGAGACCCACCCCACAGAGCTCCCTGGAAGGCCAGCCCGGAGTGGCAGGACACTGGCACCAGGACAGTGGCACCAGGACAGTGGCACCGACAGGACACTGGCACCAGGACACTGGCACCGACAGCAGCGGGGAGAAGGGCTGTCCCCACAGGACCTGTGCTGGACCCCCAGCTTTGCCCCTCCACTGCATGACCTGCCAAGGACAGAGCTGCCACTGGGCACGTAGCGAGGTGAACGGGCAGCAGGTCAATCTTGGAGGGCAAGTGCATTTTTTTAAGAATAAACTGCAAAACTGTACCAAAAAAATGAAAATCGTGGAGTGCCGCCTTCTCACAAGTTTTTCCACTGACTTTTTTAGGGTTATTTAGGGTTTATCTTTTTTGTTTGTAGTAAGAGGGCTATAACCTGGCCTGAACTCAAAATAAATAATAAATGTCTCTACTTTTATAACTGAAATTTGAAACGACAAGAAAGAGCCAAGTGCTCTGAGGGTGAAAAAGCACCCCTGTATCTTCAGTGTGGAGAGGGGATGTGATGGCATGTCCTGTGGAAAGAAACCAACTTCACCCACTTATAAAGTTCTGATTATCACAGAGCCCTTAGACTTAAGTTTCATTGAATACCATATGATAATATTTTTTTCCCATCAAAAGGCAAATTAAAATATTCCAGTTATAATCCTTTTTGCCATTTCTTTTTAAGATTCCTTGTTCTGGGAGTCTGTTTTTGGTTGGAATAAGACATTTCTGTTCACACAACAAATTATTCGTAATGTGCCCAAATGTGTCACCACGGCGGCCAACGTCAACAAACCCCACCACCACCCCCAGGAGCAGAATGGGTTTGTTATTGAGTCATTGTTCCAGTCCCCCCAAGCACCATGCAGGGGCTCTGAGGAGTCAATAGATGGCAGTCCATCTCCTAGGAAAGCGCTGGAAAATGAGTAAAATAACCAAAAGCCTCACAAAAGAGAGAGGTGGAAGGCCATGTGGTTCTTCACCAGCATTCACAGTAATTAACTAAGAATACTTTAGAGAATGTGAAACATTTGGACAAACTGTGGTGGTCATTTGTGAGTGATGCCAAAAAAAATGGTGTTTTATCACAAAACCTGACGCCTGGGTTGATCTGCACTAGATGGACCTGCGTGAGGGACGGTCACCACCAATTTATGAAAACCAGTTTAAATCTAGTGGTTGTATCCATGGCTGAAGTGCAGGAAAAGCTTCCCGTGGTCCCCAAGGACCGGGCAGCCTCCGTGTGCAACAGCACAACAACACTTTCATTTTAAACTTCTCTTATTTTCCCCTAAGCTGTTATCCTGTTTCTCCTGAAATATCTGTTCTAAGCTAGGAAAATTGTACGCTAATTTCAAAGTGAAATATTAATATGCTGATATTAGAGTTAAAAAATCATGGCTTTTTGTTATGATCCTGTAAATATATATAATATATAAAAAACATGCATTATTCTAACACAGAAGTTTTGATTCTTGCCAGAACATTATTTACTTCTGTACTGCTTTGGATGCAAAAGAGAATATTTAAAGGGAGTAATGAAAGCCAGGACTCACACTTCTAAACAATTCAGATAATGGAGTTTCTTTCAATTTACTTATTGTAAATATTGAGCATGTCTTTTACCACACAATTTTTTAAATTCCAGGCTTAATCTGACTGCTAATGTAACTTTGAGCCAATGGGACTTTTCTCATGCAAAAAATGGAGGTGTGTAAAGCATTTCCCACATGTCAGAAATGTGGATTTTTTTCAGATAATCTGCAGTTCACTGAAAAATAAAAAAAATATTTATCAGAAGCTACAGTCTGACTTGATACCAATTAATCTTTGCATGCCCATATTTGACCACATTCTAAAATGCTCTTAAAATGAACCATGAATTTCAAAATGTTTTTAATAATACACTCATATTTGTAACCACTAATTTTCTAACAAGAGCTTTTTCTGACATACATTTTTTAGCTTTATACTAAATTAAATGTAAACCCTGAATGCTTACTACAAAATCCACAGCAAAAATTTTCTATCTCAAGATACCTCAAAATCTGGCCTAGTAACAACTTGGTCAGATTTAAGCTAGTCCACACTTTTTTTACAGAAATAAGTATTTTCTGAGTGTTGATGGCAACTCACTTTTTGAGGAATTTTCAATGGTAGGTGAGACTAAAATTAAATTAAATCTTCTATCTCAGTAAAAACCAAAACATAAGATATTACTGCACCAAACATACCTATCAGATTATTAAGTTCCAAGTATCATAAACATTTCAGAAATTGTTCTTACATGCACCCTCAGGGATTATAATGAAAGAAAGCATTTACCTTTTTCCTTCATCCAGTTTTAAAACAGCAAACAAAAATATTCAGTGAATGCACCTTTTGCTCATGCTTTTTTTAAAAAAAAAACAACCAACAACAAAAAGTCTTTACCAATTCTGTTTAAAAGTAAATTCTCAGGAAGGGTGGACGATTTCCAGAGCAGATCTTTGTGTTAAAAGTCTTTATGCACAAAACACAAGTGTGAGGTTTTAAGTGCAGATTTCTCCTATTCATTGAATTTAGAAGCAAAAAAGCAGAAAAAAGAGCATTCCACTGCCATGAAGAGGTGGAGGAACAAATTATAAAGCACATCCCATCTACTGCTTCAGAGAAAAAGTGAAAGACCCGAAAGAAAAGTAATGGAGAAACTTTTCTACTTTGTTTTGAGCAGAGCGTGGGGTTTAATTATCTGTAACAGCGAAATACGTGTGAGGCCGATCTGGGGAGCGACGACAGAAAAGCTTCAGAGGGACACCAAAACCCTGATCTTTAAAGGGGTTTTTATGTATGACAGTTTTAGAAAATAACATATTCAAAACCTGTGACACCAATCCATGGAATATTTTCTTAACTGAGTAAATATCGTAACAGGTTTCAATATTAGCCAAATTTGTATGCATTTTGTTTATTTTTATCTCTATTTTACATAGGAGGAAAAATCTTAAGTAATACACTGGTACAGTTCACAAAGTTGTATTTTCTTGTTTCAGAGATTTAACATCAACTAATGCAGGCCAAAGAAGCAGTCATAGCTATATTCTGACCAATTATAAATTATCTGCAAAAGTTTGAGTTTATTTGCTCAAATTGCCATCTCCACTCTAACTGAGATTTATTTTACTAGTTTAAGAAGAAAGTTTTGTCACACAGAGTGATTAATTACCAGCATCTGGGATATCTGAGATGGGATTATTGCTCCTGCTATGCATCCCAACTTAAAATTTAACCCTCTTTCTATGTGTAGATGTGGTCATTGAGAGGAGAAAAGCAAGGCACTCATTTGATTATTACAGTATTAAAAAAAATCAGAATTCCAGAGATGTTTAAAAAATAGTGACAGTGTTTCCTTGCCTTCTTCAGTTCAAAAACTCTTCTGATGTTTATTATCTTCTCACAGAAGATGCTTGTCTATATTTTATGGTCAGCAGTTCACAGAGGAGTAAATAGGTTGGGTGTAGAAGAAAATAAAAAAGGTGTTTCTACTTACTGTTAGGTGATACTGCCTCCATATTTCTGGGCAAGCCTGGAAAATAAAAATATTGATCAGCTAGGAGCATGAAACAAGGTGCTTTACAGCCTGTTGGTTTTGGCATAACACAGTATCCACTGGTGTCGGTCACAGGAAAATAAGAAGCTTAACTGAAAGGGTCTGCATTTCAGCTTCAAAAACCTGGCTAGACAGTTTAATTGAATTTTACACTGGTTTAACACACTCCCTGCCATTGTCAGAAAGCCAGTAACAGTTTTCTCTCTGCCCTTCTTCTCCGAGGGGCAGAAGTTTGTGAGAGCAGTGTGTCTGTGACTGTAGGGTGCATTAATGCTGCAAAACAAACAGGGGCAGATTTAAATTCTACATTTCTGACATTTTAAATTTACATAATGCTCTGGAAATTAAATCACAAGGTGCCTTCCTTTCATGTAGGAACAGAAATATTTTATCTTTTTTGTACATATCTCTTTCCTAATCAAAATATAATTGTTACATGTAATAATCCTCAGCAACCTCGTGTCAGATGAGTTGTAAACAAGAACCATAACAGATTGCTTTAATGTTTCTATTTTTACAATGGCTTGCTTGCCTTTTTTTTAAATTTTTTTTTTAAAATTGCCAGACTCTCACATCAAATCCTAAGTAAAAAAAAAAATCACACATTAAATCCTTTTGTAAAAAAAAATTTTCAGAGCAGGTTTTTCAGTCATAGCAGTGACACAATAGATCTGAGGGACACATGAGAGACAGGAAAAAGGGAAATGTGGATCTTTAAACAAAATCAGAATGTGTTGCTGGTCACTGAGGCTGAGGTCACTCTCTCAGGGGTTCTTAATGCTTTTACAAAATGTACAAAATTTCTGATGGCCCCCGAGCCACAGACAGACATGGAAATAGTGTCACTTTTTGTCATTTCGGCATATAGTTACTGCAGTGGAGAGCTTTCACTTCTGTTTAGAACATTTACTCTCTTATTAAAACTGCTCCTTAGTGATTTAAACAATTAGCAATTTGGTTTGTCAAGCTCTAGTTTCAGTATTTTAAGAAGAAATATGAGTTATTCCATGGCTTCTCCATAACATGCTGCAGCTGCAATTTCAAACGTTTGAAGCCTCACGACTACTCACAAAGGAGTACTATTAACATTTCTTTACATTTCAAATAAATTTTTTGCTCACGTCTAAATTCCTGCCTTCTTTTATTCTGATGGAGCGCGTTAATTAAAAAGACCCCACACTTTAACCAGTATCTCTCAAAATAAAATCCAAGTTTTCACCAGTCCCCCTATGGCACATACTGCGTGTTTTTCCCGCATGTGATGGAAATGATATTATTTATTATTCATTCCACCAGTAACACAATTTTCTGCAGAAAAATCTACAATCTGTTCTGTGTAATGGTTCGACATTTCTCCTCTTACTCAAATAACGCGTGTAAATATTTGAGTTTTATATTAATGTTTCTATAAAGGAAATGTGCGAAGGATATCACATTCCTCAGTGAGGATCTGATGGTTTGAACACAATCGAGCTCTTTTTGAGTGCAAACAAAAGGATCGTCCTCCTTCCCTAACTTACACAGGGTTCAGAGGTGCGACACATAAACACTCTCTAACCTGTAAAATACTGTACCAGACACCTCAGCATCTCCCGCAGACCTGAAGAGGCTTAAGCTGTGCCGGAGAGCTGTGCTGGTCTGGCTCAGGGGTAGCAGGCATTTATTTATACATTAGTTCTGGACAGTTTTTGATTACCACAGTGTGCCCAGGCTAATATGGTTGAAAAATCGCAATCAACGAGTTGTCCTATACTGGCAAAATGCCACTCTGTGGTATGACCTTTACTCACATGACAGCTATTTAATAATCCTCATAATAATAAAAATTACTTTGTTTTTGAATAGTCATTTGGTTGGCTATTTTTTTCAATCTGGACACAATGACGTCACTTTGAGTGAAAATCTGTAACTCAGAGTGGGAACCACAGTTGGCAGAGCTCTTGCTAAAACTCTGGGAGAGGTGCAGTCCTGGTGCCTCTGTGGTGCTGTCCAGTGGTGGGGTTTATCCTTAAGGATGATTTAAAGGGGTGGGAAAACAAAAGAGAGTCAAGGAAGAAGATGGTGATGAGGGAAGATTGTCTAAGCATATCCCTTCATTCAGATGGTGACTTGGGGTAATACTGCTCACCATTAAGAAGTTGGGTACAATAGCTGAGGAGGGGCGACTATTAAACAATGGCTTTTTAGAGGTGATGCTTTTAACCTGCTACCTCCTATCAGCTCACGGTTATTGTCTGCATCTTCTATCGTGGAATGACAAAAAGTATAATTAACAATTACTACCAAATACTGGCTCCTCAAATGAAGCGAGAGGGTTTGCTATGGAAGAGACCATAGCCAAACAAAACTGCTGCCAAACCTGTGATCTTCCTTATTTATTTGGAAGAACTTAGCCATGAACAGCCCTCGTTTAAAGAAAAGCCCTTGCACTACACAGCTACTATTGGTAGTGTGATGAAGTACATTAAAATAAAATTGCATTTATTTCCTGCCCCAGTGGTCTGACCCTACTTGCACGTAGATGTACCAGCACAAAAAGTGCCTACTCCTGAGGGCAGTGCCAGTGCCACTGCGCGGCTGCTGCATGCACAGGCAAGGGGCACGTCCCCCCACCTGCCCACACCTTTGGCCACGCAAGCACTGGGCCACTATTTCCACAAATCCATGCCACCTTTGCCTCGGACCATGTCCAGTCAGCGTGGATGGGTGGCTGACCCAGCGCTGGGTGCCACACCGGGCAAATCAGGGCTGAGTGATGCATGTTTTGACCCGTACTGAATTTTATCAGGTGCTAATTATTGTTTTACCAGAACAACAGCTTAATGCATCTGTTATTTAATTCCCACTTCCCTATTCTCCAATGTGAACATCAAAGAAAATAAAACACTCAATCTCAAACAGCCCCTGACAGCAGACCGGGACTTGAGTGCTCAATAGACGAAGCCCTTGCCACCAGTTCTCATATTTCCACAACAATGAACAAACACAAAACCGGCACTAAGCGGCCTTTCCTCCTTTCCGCTCCCCTCGGCCGGTCGTCTGCCGAGAGGGCCCTCGACGTTGGCCCTGCGGGGCGCGGGCGCGGGGGAGCGGATTAGCCCCGCTAACATGCGAGCGCCGGCAAAAGGGAAGGAAAAACCCCGCTACTGTATTTGGTGTATGAATAACCAAAATGCACGCGTTGACAGGAGACCGGGACGGGCCCGCGGCTCCCCGGGAGAAAATGTAGCTGTGATGAGTGACAGGGCTTTCAGGAAATATGTTCACAATCACAGACAGTGAAGGCCATGACCTAGATCGTTTAAGAGCTTGTCTTGTCAAATTATCAAAAGCTTCTTCGTCTCTGAATAAAGAGTGACATAAGTGAGTGTCAGAAAGCTGCAGGCTGACAAGCCAAGCATACAATAACAGCATGCACGTCACATACTTGCCGAACACCGCCACGGCTAGCGGCAAATCTTAATGAGAGCGCGGCTGGCCCAGGAGACTTGGGTCCCTGCTGGCACAGCTACTCATCTCGCAAAAATCCTTCAGCTCTGAGTCAGTTATGGTCTGACACAACGACTACAATTACTAAACACAACTTTTTAACAGAATCCTCTGGTGCTTTGTCAAAGCAGCAGCGGCTGCTTGGAGCTGCCCCGCCGCAAGCCACCACAATAAAACAAAAGATTTGCCAAAACACACACTTTTCATCACCTCCACATGGGAACTGCCACGAAAACACACAATGCTTCCCTTCAAAACCACTCCTGCACGAGCAGATGTTGAGACCTCTCCCCACGCTGTTGGCGCAGACGGCCGCCGGTGCTGGTGCCAGGCAGGCAGAGCTGAGTAGCTGCTGGCGCCATCCCTGCTGTTGGTAACATGGACTTACACTCACCCTTAGGTGGACATGGACGTGCCAGAGGTGTGAAGGATGGGGGACGGTGCTGGGGAACGAAGGAGAAAGGGCAAACCCTGTGCTCTCTGCTCAGGGGAGGGCTGGGGGCCTGTGGTGCCGCCAGTGGGAATAGGCCACTTGGCCACAGGGACACCAGCCACACCTGTGGATCCACCCCTGCACCTCCAGCCCCATCCCAGCCTGCAGCAGTGGCCACATCCCGATGGTGAGCAGTGGCACAGGTTCCGGAAACAAGAGGCATAATTTCCTGGGAGAGAAGAGGCCAATGGCGGCTTGTACAGCCAGAGAAAGTGTCAGGAAACATGGAGAAGATGCCAACTGATATATCTGTCTGGTTCCCTGGAAGGAGCGTTGCTGACAGGGTGTTTAGGGCACTGGAAATGAGGCCCCCAGGCCATCAGGCACAGTGTGGCTGCAGGGCACATATGACAACATATGTTCAATAACAACTAGATGAGAATTCCCATTTTACAAGAAGTCATATGGGAAAGACAAGGGGTGATGGCTACAAGTTACTCCTGGGGAGATTCCAGTTGGACACAGGAAAAGACTTTTCACAACGAGAACATTCATCTCCCTAGGGAAGAGGTGGATTCCCCAGCATTGGACACTCATAGGATTTGCCCAGAGAGCATTCTGGGCTGTCTTGGTCCCTTCCAACCTGGTGTTGCAGGATTCTGTGATTTCTCATCCATGAACTGCTCCCATTTCCTCTGGAGGCAGAGCAGATCTGCATCCCTCAGTAAGGAGGCTCACAGGTCTAGTAACAACTGCACAGAGAGTCACCTCCTCCTGTCTTTTCCCAACCTGGCTCCTAGTGTCAGGTGTGCTGGAAGAAACAATAAACAACTGATTCTGGACCACTGTCTCCCATCACAGATGATTCTGAAGCTCTTCAAATACCCTTCCCTTTGTAACCTCCCTTCCAGGCTGAGGAGTTGTGACTGTGCTGAGGGATGCAGAAGAGAGGGACCAAAGTTGTGCTGAGGTGTCCCTTGCTTTTCTGATGATTCCTAACATTTCACTAGCTCTTTTTTATTACAGCTTGTGAAGGCTAACCTGATTTTTTGTGGGATCATATCTCACAACTATAATCTGAGTCCTGAATAGTAATGCTCAGAACCTATCATTTCATATGGCAAGATGTGATTATTTTCCCTGGTATTTTACTTTACATTTACTGCCGCTCAAGTTCATCTGCCATCTTACTGTGTTCTCCCTCCAATTCTTATAGTCCTTGGGCAGTTCTTCACAGTTGGTTCACAGCAATGACTCTCTAAGTAATTCAGTCTTCTCAGCAAATCTCGTCACCCATTGTTCACCCTTTCCCATGTCACAGTAGCATATCCCACCTTTATCCTCTTACTCCATGCCTGTTTAGTTTCCTTAAAAGCTTTTGGTCAGGAACTTTGTCCAACATCTTTTGGAATTTGTAGACTATGTCAACTGGCTCATGTTGACACACGTGCTTGTCAACCTGCTCCTTTGAAGAACTTCAGAGATCCCCAAGAAGTGGGATTTCCTTCACAAAAGCAGCCTGGAATCCCCCCATGTATATCATATTTACACACCCATCGCAATGTGCTGCCGCTGTGGTTCCTGCCCACTGGCTCAGTGCCCGTGGCTGATGGGCCTGGACCCGCAGCTCTCTCTGGGACCCCAACTACACACTGTCCTTGTATTTGCCACTCAGTTACCACTCAGGCACCAAGTACGAGGTGTCGCACTGCCATCACCAACTGGGTTATTTCACCTTCACATTCCTCCACAGCTTTTGTGCAAGCATTACCCTGTTTTGGTAACAGGCTTGCACTCACAGGTTCATGGTAATCCTCACTTTCTCTTCAATTCCAGACATATTCCGTGGTGATCCTCTCCACAAAGAAAGGTTTCAGTTTGGGAAAGCAGTTTCTTCCACTATGAACATCCCAGATGCAAAAAAACCCAACCTTTAAGCCAACAGCAGCAGCCTTGTCCTGTCCAAGCATTCCCTTTGTGTCTCGATCACCTGTTGGCCTCACAGGAAAGATTTACTGTTGGTTTTGATTGCTTTGCCTTTGTTCTGTCATGCTGTCTTTCTCTTTGAGGACAGGGCAGGAGAGATATTGCTCTGACATCCCAGTGTGCACGGCCCAGGCAGCCTCATGCAGGAGCACAAGAGAACTGCCCAAAGTTTCAAAGACAAACCTTTCTGATTTAAGGTGGACCTAATGAGCAGAAAAAAAATATGCTGTGATGTTCCTGATAACTAGCACAACTCAGGTGGCATCTAAAATTTTGGATGATAAAGGACTTGTGGTTCCTTACAGAAAAGAACATCAGTTCATGAGATCTCACGTCATAAAAAGTATAAAAGAGAAAAGGTGGCAAAGAAAAGATGCTTCAGATTAGTTTTGTCTCTCTGCCTACCAGACCAGGGGTGCAGAAATGTGCCATTCACGTTCTTTAAAGGTATTGTGTGCACATTAGCTATAAGTAAAAGTACAGCTAGAAGAGAAAGATTGAATTTGAATTTCCAATATTATTCAAACATTCAAATATCATAAGAAAAACCTGCAAATGTGTGGGGTGTCCTCCACACATCCCACGTACTACCACTGTCTGTGCTGAGCCTGTAACACACTCTTTGACCAAACAGAAGAAATAAAGGCAGGGAGGACACATTTACAAGGAGATTCAAGTATTTCTGAATTTCAAAAAACCCAGCACCACACAGGTGTATTTGAAAAACAAACATATAGGCCATTATCTTTAGATACTCAATGAAGTGTGAATGTATGCTGATGTTATCACAGTTTGCCTTTTATCCTCACCTTTTGTGTTTAATTTGAGGAAAAAAAATAGCATAAAACGTTGATTGCTACATATAGGACTGAATTTTTGTGACATGTAAAACCATAATAATATCCTATAAGAGAGAGAGAAAGAGTGAAAGAAAGAGAAAAATATGTTTAATCTCCCTGTGAATTACTTAAGTAGATCATATAAAAACCAAAGCCTTCAAACTGCTCCTCTCTAATAATATTATAATTGATTAATAACTGATCATAGGGAAAAAACATACTGGAGCTCTTGGAGAAACAGAGTTACTCTTTACCTCTTGCTGGCATGCTGTGTCTCCTGATTTCAACCTCCCTAGATTTTCCACTCCACAGAAACGAGGATGTTTTTCTCCATCCCAACTAAACTGAACTAAAGACCAAGTGTTTACACCACTTTGGTTTGGTTTTTTTCAACCATTCTCCACAAAAACTGGGATAGTGTTAGGTAAAGACTAACCACAACATTTTCATACACTTACATAAACACACAGTATGTAAAATGAAAGAAACACAAAGAGACTGTAATTCAGTGTTTGACAAACACAGAGCCAGTGATGACTGAGCTCTGCCACGGGCCATACTCACATCAGCATAGTGGCCCTTCATGTCACAGCGGTTGCAATGTTTGTTCCAATAGGCTCTCTCCAGGCACTCCCTGAAATAGTGCCCAGGCAAACAGCAGTTCAGACAGAAACGTGCTGGGCAGCTGTGCTGCAGATGGTCTTTTCCTGCACACAGGCAACAAGGGGGAACTTTCTATGGAGAAACAAAAAAAGAATCATGTGACAAGGTTTGAAAAGATAGAAGAAAAAAAGAATCAAAAGAGGAAATTAAGAAGAAACCACCTCAAGTAAGTGCGTATGGCTCCCTAGGACTTGATGTTGTGTTTCATCAAGGAATCCAAGCGGAGCAAGAACATGCACAGAGTAAAACTCAAAGTTGTGATTCCACAGACTCCCTGGACCTTCTCGATTTGGACCTTGTCTCTGCAGCACTTGTTGAATGACCAGTGCCAGTGGTCTGTGCTCAGTGAACACAGTGACAATGATTGTGGTATCTGTGGTTAGTGGTGGGCTTGGCAGTGCTGGGGGAATACTGGAACTCCATGATCTTAGAGGGTTTTGCATCACAGGGTTTTTTTCTTCACTTACTACACTGTCTTTACCTCGATCCATGAGATTTTCTTTCTGTGGTCGAGTGGCTGGGTAGGTGCCTGGGGCCAGCTGAGCTCAGCCCAGCCCAGCCTCGTGACTTACACAATTCAGCACTTGGAATGACAAATACAATGTGCAGAAAAGTATTCTGAGGCCAAATCTGTATCTCTGTAAATCCAGTTCTCCCAGTGAGTGAGTGTATTTCCCACCAAGGGCGGATGGGATGCAGTCACTCCGTGTGCCCTCATGGATGACAGCCTGGGGGACTGAGGGTCCTACAGATTCTGTTGTGGGGGCTGGTAAATTCAGGCTCTCACATGAGTGCCCCCACTTCTTCATGGTGCAGAGACTGACTTTTAAACTGCTAACCCTGGGACAAACCTTCTCAATATTTGGCATCTATTTGAGCTGCTTAAAGTTAGCTCCAGTTTTGTCTTGTCTACAATTTTTAACATTATTCATATCATGGTTCATTATACAGATATCTGCCTCCATTTATTTACTAAGGCTGTTTTTTGGATTCCTTAGGTTCTCCTTGTTGAAAACACAACTGAAAAATATTTTACATCTTCAAACTGTTTTTACAATATGAAAATAAGATGTTTCTGTATTGCACTTCACTCCTTTTTTGCTCAGTCTATAGCAGCAAGGTCTAGTGGAAGGTGTCCCTGCCCATGGCAGGGGGGTGGAATGAGATAAGCTTTAAGGTCTCTTCCAGCCCAAACCTTTCTCTATGATTCTCTATGATATGATTCTGCATATTTTTCTTTTATATAAACAATAAAATCAATGACCTCCCCAAACAGACGGATAATTTTATACAGTAAATTGACCTTGTGCAAGGTATTCTGCAACTGAGAGCAGTCCTTCAAAGAAAGGATAGACCACTGAAGAAAAGCTTCTAATGGCAAGTGCAAGGGAGTATTAGGAAAAGCAGCTGCATCTACGAGTGATTTAAGTGTTTCACTTACCTTTGGAGTGGGACTGTTCTTGGACAAATGTCCTGGTCTGTTGCAGTTCCTGCTGGTGATGTTTTTGTCAGCTGTGTAGTACCTTGTGCTGCTGTGCCTCACCCTGGCGTAGTTGGAGATCTGGGCCTGGTAAGAAATGGGGAGAGAAACGCATTTACCACCTGAGATTTTGTGCTTTGGTGTTTGTTAGAACTGGGAATTGTAAAGGTCACTGCTGGCAGTGATCAGTCAGATATCTAATGTTTCACAAGTACAGTTTACACATACAGGTCTGGAATGGATAATTCCACTACAGAGAAATCTGCATTGTCTGGAAGAAGCTCTTGTTCAAACTTCCACTTCAGGACATTCTTTTTTGCTTTTTAAAACTGCAGTTATGAAGTTTTGCTTTCCGTCAGTTAGGCAAGACACTTTTACTCACTGTGCTATGTCATGACAAACTGGAATTTTCCCCAGAATAAGAATATAACATTAATTGCAAATGCAAGTTACACATTCCCTTGCACACATTAAAGAAAACTACTTGGACAAAATACAATGCTAAACAAGTCTGGACCAAATCTGTAATTTGCAATTGTAAAGAAAGATTTATAAAGGAAAAAAAGGAGAAAAAAAAAAGAAGCTGGAAACAACCGTCTTTCTCTCAGTGACCTCACACATACTTTCTGTGCAGACAGATAGAATTGAAAATCCTATCTACAACCTTCATTGCCTAGTAAACATCACAAGTTTTAAAAAAATAAATGAAATTTTGGATGAGTGAATGGGGAAGGTTATAAAAATACCATTTCTCTTCAGGGAAAGACTTTGTTAATGTTACTTGATTGCATCAGTTTTACTGGACCTTGGAAAGAAAAAGGGAAGGAGTTGGACCTGGCAGCTGAAGTTCACTCCTGGATGCTCCAGCACCTTGCATGGGAACTCCAGGCTGCAGCCTCCCCACACCCACCCCTGCACTGAGCCTGACCCTGGGAAAGCACCACACACCACTGGCTCCCACTGCCCCCTGACAATGGGATCAGGCTTCCACGAAACATCTCTGGGCCTCTGAAGAGACCAGAAAGGAAGAGATTATGTCCTCCTTGCAGAATCCACGGAGGCATTCCAGCTCCCGGCATCCCTGTCCCTTCCTGCCTCTGTTCTGACTGCAACTTCAGAACTCCTTCCTCCTATGGGAGGACACTGCTTATGGTCTCACACAAACACCACAGAAGGGTTTTTCAATCACATTTATCTTGCTTTGTTTGTTAATGAGCATCAATATAAAGAATTACAGAAGAATTTGATTGTCTGTGTTACCTCTAAGTCTTTATCAGAGACGGACCAGTCCACATCAACTTCTCCTGAAAAACAGAAATAAAATTAATTATATTTAATTGACATGACTATTTTTCTATAATATATTCAAAATTATAATTATTGCACTTACTGAAATTGCAAACAGATTTTGATGTACTAAAGAGAAGAAACTATTTCCGTCTTTGGTAAAGGAAAGCTATCAACCCACTGGTCACTAAATCTGCTTCACCTGAAAATCAGCACATGCCCAGCTACTGAGAGGACTTTATCTGACACCACCCTGTTGTTCTATCCCCTGGGGTATAAATTCAGGTGGGGATATAACTCCTCCAGAGGCAGGGTTTCCAAAGGTTCTGATTCCAGCCGTTGGAATTACCCCTGCCTGTGCTTGTGGGAATGCCTGGCTCAAGTCCAGAGGCTACAATGGGGGGGAGCACATGGAACAGCAAGTTAATGCACAGAATACACTTTTCCTCCTTGCAAATTCTCCAAGTCTGTGTCTCCAGGCCTGCATCCTGACTGCTGCATGCCAACACAACTGAGCATAACCTCAGCCACCCAGACTGTAAGCTGAGCAACTCTATTTCCAAACAGGGTTCAGTAATGTGCAATAAATCAGGAGGACACACTGAATTATCGACTGTCACGCCATAACCTTCTCACACGCAGCCTTTGGGCTGGCAGGAGTGAAAAGAAACAAACCAAGAAGGAAATGAAAGGGCAATAAGCTAAAGCAATAGGGATGCAGCTACAGCTGTTGAAAAATTCTGCATGTCAACACCGCTGACGGCTCCGGCTGCGCACACACAGCTGTGCTGCCACAGCAGCTTCCACCTCTGTGCTGGAATAACGGAGGATTTGTGCCAGTGCAGGTCCTCACCTTACCTATACTTTTACAGCAAACATTACAACCCATGTGCAAATTAATCCTGCGTGTTTGAGGACTTTTTAATGCAAACTGTCCCATCCTGATCCCAGAGTCCAAATCTGAGGCATTCACATATGTTACTAACACAAATCACAATAACATCATGAGCTACAAACAGCAAAAAATTATCAAATTTTGTTTGTACTATTCCTTTCCATTAGAATGTGGATGACCATGAATTAAATTTATATAATCTGTAATGTCATGTCTAACCATTTACTGAAAAAGTCAGTAGTTTTGGCTGAAGCTTGTGACACAGTATCTGGATACCAGATACGTCATTCAGGTCCTTTAGAGCACAACATCTGCTTACTGCTGCTCTTCATCTAACAATCAGGGCTCACACCATCTGCTCTCACCTGAATATGCCAACGCCCAGCTCCGAGGCATTGATAACACATTAACTGGCCTGTTCATAAAGTGATTTGAACAATGTGTGAACCTGAGTTGTGGTACACAAAGTGACTGCCCCTGCCAGACTCCAGCACCCCATGACCAGATTTGTCACCCCAGCATCATTTGGGACGAGGAATCATCCTCAGAGTGGGAGGTGGAACCCTCCAGGGCCCTGGGGAATGCTGCCCTCGTCCCCATGGGGAGGACAGATGGGACAGGTTTGCATCTGTGCCCTTTGGCAGGAGCAAGTCATGGATATACCTGAGGGGAAATCGAGCCTTTTGGGGCCTGATCATGAAAAGTGAAGAATGGACATATTTGAGTCATAAAAACACTGACATATTTGAGCGCATTATTTATTGCTCAGAAGCCTGTTAAGGAAATTCATTCATAAAGGAAAAGGTATTTGTAATTCAAACTCTGCCCTGGCAATCAGCACCGTGAGTACTGTGTTGCACAGAAACACACACACAGAATGGCTGACAGTTCACAGATCAAAATTACCAGCGAATTAACTCCTGTTAATCACTAGGCATGTCCTTCCTGAGGTCAAACCAACCAAGTTTCTCTTCTTCACTGTCAAAATCCCCTGCTTCTCAGGGGAAAACCGCAATACAATGATTCAAATGCTCCTGATGCTAGAAACTAAAAGTGCTCAACTCAGAAAATACATACAAAAGCTTTAAAGTTGAATGAAATATTACATCAAAATCTTCCTTTACTAAATCTGTTTGGTGATCTAAAAGTTAATTCTAACTCACAACAGATTGCACAAGGCTTTGTTTTCATTCATAATAAATTCTTGAGATTGAAACGTGTAGGGAGAATTCTGCTTCTGCAATGAAATCTTGCTGTATAGACACATAGAAAAAACTTCAATGATACTTCTTGCTGACCACAGTATTTTGTCTGGCACTAGATCATGAAATAAATCACAAAACTCTGCTCAAGTTGACAGATACCTCCTCTTCCTCTGATTTTGTTTTCTTATTTGGATGAACTAATTTGTCCAATAGGCACTCCCAGTGCCCCTGGGCTGGCTCCTGGCCACTCCACCTCCACTGGCCCTGCTGTTCCCTTGGCTCAACCACCAGCACCAGCACCTCTGGTGTGTTGGGGACCACCTTGTGCCACACTCCCTTTGGCCTGTAGCACCCATCATCTTTGTTTTATTCCTCCACGCTCAGCCTCATCTGGTCTGTGTCTGAGATCGTGGGAGTGGAGAAGCTCTTCCCAAGGATGCAGCGGTGGCTTGGCCGTGGAACTGCACCCAGAATTACCACAGGATGGGTAAGGGTGGCAGGGACCATGGGAAGGGTCACCAGCCCCCCGATGTGCCTGAGGATGATGCTCTCCCACCCCACAGTCCCCAGTCTGGGGCAGAGAGGGCAGTTTTGGCCAGAGCACAGTCACCAAACAACGGCACCAGCTGCTGAGAGCTCTGTCCTCACAGAGCCTGGCATGATGGCTCCTGTCACCTCATGTTCTCCTAGGCCATGCCAGTACCATGTTACAGCATTTCACTCTTTTTTTTAAGGTGGACATGAGCACAGAGGGTAGATATCTGCCAGAAGGAATGGCTCTAAGTGCTTTATTTTTACTTTTACTTTACTTTTACTTTTACTCTTTAGAAAAAAGCAGATCAAAACCTATTTATACTATCTCTGTCAAGACTTTCCCCCTTTTCTGTGGAGAAGTTGCACATACAAAACTTAATTGAAGGGTCCTGTGAATTAAATCAAACCAAGAACATCTTTGACAGATCTGTGCTTTTAATCTTCTTATCTTCCTTTTTTAAAAGCTATCTCCTTTTTAAGATTATATTAATTTCTATGCTAAGTTTAATACTGAATAATTCCTATACTAAAATTTTCTTAATTTGTATACTTAAAAAATACAACATATAAACTTCTTCTATTTATACTTTAAAAAATGGTTTTATCAAACTGCAGATCAGGGAAGAAGAGAAGAGGATGCAAAATATATACCATTTATATGAAAATGGAAGCCCTGCACAAGGTTTTCCCTTTATCACGTATCACACTTTGGCTGTCCTGTGCCCCTATACAATGGGATGAATGGTGAGCAACAGCTTTGCTTTTATTTAAAGAAAAATTTTGAAAGATCATTGGGATTCACATGTATCCCTCCGCCAGCATGAAAATGTAAATTTCCGAGCAGCGCGCAAGGGTGAAGCCAGATTTAGGACCACTGTTCAATGTGCATTCAAACCTCCCTTCTTTCATCCCAGACAGGGAGAGGAGGGGAGGAGGGAGAAGGAGGACCAGCAGTCAAAACCTGAAATTGCCTGGAGGAACAATCTGCTTCCACAGGAACAAAACACTGACTCAAAATAAACAATAAACTGTTAAAAAGATTTCCTTATCTGCTGTGCAGCTCCACCAGGGACTCTGGTGGCCAAGCAGGTTGCCCTTGCCAGGCAGGGCATCTCTGGCACAGGCTGTGACCCCCTCAAAATAAGACTTGTATTTCGCTCATCAAGGCTGGGAGAAAACACGTCCCTGCACCAAGCTCTGCCTGCCCTGCAAGGGTTTGTGTCATCACCTTCTTCAGCAGCTGAGAGAAGCTGCAGAGCACAGTCATCCAACTTTGAAAATAAAACACTGAATTTCCTAAAAGGAGAAGGCAATTGGTTGTGTCCCCCCTTCCTTCTAATTGGAAAATATATGCAGACGTATTTTATGTATTTTACTTTATGATCAGCCCAGTGAAATAGGACACTTTGAGCTGTGGCAGCATGATACGTGGCCTGAAGGGCAAATACATTTCAAAGCTGGGCTTTAAAAATTGGATTTTGACTGCTAATTAATATAGCACATTACAGAATAGAGAACCCTAATTACATTCTAGTGCAAGACCTCCGTGGCAAGGACTGTTTCAGACATATCTCTGAACATGCCAGGACACAGTTTCTGCTCCAACTGGAATAACATTTTAAAATTATAAGCGTTAAACCCCCTAAAAATCATCTAGAGTTGTAAGAATTTCACATCGTGACATATTATATATATCTGAAAATTCCTGCTTATATGTGAATTGAAGTGATTCAAGTCTTACTGTAACATAGCTATAGCGAGTTCCACATTTTCTGTGCCCAAGCAGACCTTCTTCCAAAAAACAAGGAATGATGGTATGCAGGGGCAACCGCCAAACACTGTCCCAAAACAGGAATTGAGGTGGCCTCCCTACATCAGGTTTTATAAAGCACAGAAATTTGGGTTTTTGTGGACCAGGACGCACTGTACATCTTGCCCTTCTAGGAACAGGTATTCCAAGAACCCCCACACAAATGTCTGTGTGTGGATGTGTATGTGAGTCTATGTACACTCACGTGTGTATATGTGCACACACATGTGCATGCATGCACATCCCCAGCACATGTCACCAGACGTTCTGGTCTGTCCCACAGCCATGGCAGACCAGTCGTGATGCACAAGGAGGTGGCCCTCCTTGTGCTGCATGAAGTTCCCACTCCAGCACTCCAGGTCCATCTCAGCAGGGACCTCTCTCCCCCTAGGTACCCAGCTGGGAGGCACTCGGTGGCCACGGGGTCACAGCCCCTCTGCACTCCCCAGCTGCCCACAACACCCCCTCAGAGGGGAACGGCATCAACCCTGGTGTGTTTTTCTTAGACACTTCCAGGGATTTCTCAAGTTTGCTTTGACGAGAAAAAGGTGATTTACTTAAAAAAAACGAGAC